TTTTTTTGACAAGTAGTGGATTGCAGATTCCATGAGCTTGACTTTATAGTGAGATTAAAATCGATCCTGTTCTTGACTCCTGCTGTGAAGCACTTGGTGGTTGCCCACCGGCCCTGCTTATGCTGTGACTACCGTCGGAAGACTGTGACTCAGTTCTCCGAGGCCCTGTAATTCCTGCTGAGTGCCTACTCCTGTGAGCACCCAAAATACACAAATGCGAAGACAGCCGTCCCATGTCTCAGCACTCTGCATATTGCATTCTTATTCCTTTCTAGCTGGTTCTCCTAAGTTGGGTGGCTTGGGTTTGCCGTGTTTTATACAGTGGTTTTAAAAAAAACACCTTCATTATCATAATGAGGAGTTTTTCTATAAAATGCCTAACAGCCGTAGACCCCCTGTGGTGGTTTGAGGACACTGGCAGTGTTTGGATGGAACAGAGGTCAGCAGACTTTGTCTGTAAAAGACCGGAAGTAAATGTTTTCATCTTTGAGGGCCACACGATACATGTCGCCACTGTGTCACCACTCAGCTTCAGGTTAGTGTGAATGCAGCAGAGATGCAGAAAACAGATGGGTGGACATGGCTGCCTGCAGTGGACATTGTTTACAAAATGGGTGGCCAACTGATTTGGCCCGTGGGCACAGTTTTCTGACCTTGGAATAAAGGACAGAAGTGATTCTAATCGGGTGCTTCTACACGGGAGTGGAATGTGTTGGGAAGGTCAGTTTGAGTGTCCTGGGCCTGCCCCACAGTAGCTAGTGATACCTGAAGAAACAGGAGTGAAGTAGGTAAGGATTTAAACTTTATCAAATCGACCGTTTATTGTGTTGTTGGGAAGAGGGAGACAGAGGGAGACCAGTGACAACCAAAGGAGAGGATGGAATTGAGAGTTCAGAAAGGAACTGATGGAAATTGAAACAGATAAAGGAGTGGGGCTGGAGAGAGCAGTGCGAGACAGGGGTGTGATATGATGCTGATTTGAAGAGAGATTGACAAATCAGGCAGTAAATTCATTTGACACCTGAGAAAGGTACCACCGCTTACATGTGGCCACTCCTTTGGGGTTGCTCTACAGCCACAAGAAGGTGGGGTTCAGACGGTGCTTGTGAAGGTGAATGGAGATGATTGCTTGGCACACCTGCGGCCTGTCCCGGCCCACAGCTGCCCTCCATCTTTCTGTTCCCAAGTCCAAGTATCACCTTGCAGACTTGGTGGGAGTGAGGTCTTAGTATGAGTGGGCGCCTGGCCGGTGGTGAGGTCCATCATGCTGAGCAGATGGGAACGTGCATTTGCGTGTTANATGCTTTGCTGTGAAATGTTAGGAAATGAATGTGTCCTTTACCTCACACTGCTCTATTTATTACCTTCCAGTTTTTGTTATTTTACAGGGTTTGTGTTTATAAAATTTTTAACCATAATCAGATCTTTCCTGCCTTATAAGTTGATTCCAAAAATTGAATACTACTAAACAGTATTTACATTATTAAAGTGTTTTCACTCGAACTAAGTGGTGTGGTTGGATTGTAGTGAAGATAATATAATCCTATGTCATTTAAGCTTCACTATTAGAAAATTCAGTGTTTTAATATTGGATTTTCCTTAAAAGTCCACCTTGAAAATTTACAGAGAGAAAATTCCAACTTTTTATAAGATTAAAATTAGGTACCATGTACTGTATCTGATTTTAAGGATTCTTTTAAGTGTCCGAGTTGTACGGATCCAAGTACTGGTGAGTCTCCATAGTGATCTAAGGCCTGTGTTTTACGAATTCATGCAGTTTGTTCAAGAAAAACCTCCAGTGCTGAGGTTTGGGGCTCCTGCTGCCTGTGAGACCGCGTCCCAGGGGCCCAGACTGGGCCTGTTCAGAGCCTTTGTCCTCAGTCCTCTCTCTCACTGACCTTGCTGTGCTCTCAGCCAGACCCTTGGCTTCCCTGCAGCCTGAACAGATCCTGCCCAGGCCTGGGAGGCGGCGTGGCAGGCGCACAACTCAGCGCTGGGTCAGTTTGCAGCCAGGCAGGGTCTGGCTGCGTGGCCGCAGTAGCTTGTGTTCTAGGCCAGGTCTCTTCCCTGGCCGTCTCTCCTCCTGTCTATGGGGTGGTGACAGCGGGATAACAGCAGCTGTCCAGAGTGCAGCTGTGCCTGCCTCCTCCCGTCTGCTCATTCTCTTCTTCGGAACTTATGTCCTTCTTCATCATTCTTCTCTGTCCCTATACATCCCTACTTCTATTCCTTCTTCATACCTTTCCTGTGTTTTTAATCTTCCCTATACATAATCCTCACTTGGTGCTCTGTTGTGCCATGCAGCAATAGTTACGATTTTTTTATTTTATGTTTTTTCCCTGATTTCAGTGTTCTCACCTAGACTAATCTACTGAATTTTGGACAGTATCAGCATCATGTGTTTAAATATATAAAGTACAAAGGGGAACGGATCGTCCTGGCCTTGCAGAGCCTGCTCGCTGCGAACACTGATGGCGTCATGTCTTCCCCATGCGGAAGGGCTTTCTTATTTGTGGAGCGATGTCTTGGGTTTTTGAGAACTCTGTGATCTTGTTTATTAAGGTGTTGTTCATGTCTTTGTCTAGACAACAGCAAAACATAACATTTTTATGTGCTCAAATTTTAGAACTGGTGTGTTTAAACATAAAAAGTACATATTTTACCTTTTTGAAAACATTTTTATTCCCAGTGCGTAGAGAAATCGAGACTCTTAATGAGCGTTTAGCTGCTGAAGGACAAGCAATCGATGGGGCAGAGCTGAGTAAGGGCCAGCTCAAAACCAAAGGTAGGGGATGTTCATGAGGGGTGCCTGCGGATTGCGTGTGGAGGGATGTGGGACTCAATGCAGGCCCCGGGGTGCTTTTGCAACCACGTTATTGAACCTGTCATTCAGGTGTGGGCTTGGAAGGAAGAAGGCAGCGCCCGCTAGCTCGGGTTCCCGTCCCAGCCCTGGGTCGTTGCCATGTCTACGTGGACAGACCCGCCCTTCTGGGTTGCACTGCCTTCCTGTGGGAAGTGGGCGCCCACATTTGTGTCTTCAGCCTGTCCCTGGTCCCTGGCTCCTTGGTCGTATGCCTGTCCTGATTGTTGACTGACTGTCTTGGCAGCCAGTCACAGTACCAGCCAACTCTCCCAGAAGCTGAAGACCACGTACAAGGCCTCCACCAGCAAGGTATGCAAGGCGCTGGCTTGTGGGCCAGTCATGTGCTGCCAAAGGGGTTCCCATGGGCACTGGAAGTTCATGGCTTTCAGTTAGGGCGTGTGATAGGAAAAGATAAATTTGTGGTGTTCAGGAAAATTCAGTGGTTGTATCTGTGGAGGAGTGACTTGCAGCCCATAAACTTGCAGGCCCTTCTGTGGTAGGGCAGAGTCATGGAGTGGGGGAGTGGGGGCCTCTGGCTTCACCCCTGCTTGGTGATACCCAGCTAGACGAGTCCCACTGTTTGCACTCGTATCCATGTGTGTCTTTGATGTCCTAGTCAATGATGTGTGCATTTTCAAGGCATTCTTTTACCTTCTCTGACTTAAAAACACTCGCTCAGTAAACCGTCTACAGTACTCCTTCCTGTTGCAATCTTAGCTCGTCTCCAGCTTCAAGACCACCACGTCGAGGGCTGTGTGCCAGCTCGTGAAGGAGTACATTGGCCACAGGGATGGCATCTGGGACGTCAGTGTGGCGAGGACACAGCCCGTGGTGCTGGGGACTGCATCTGCAGGTGAGCAAAAAGCTAGTCCCGCCATTTGGTGGGCATGACTGCCAGGAGCTGGTGGGAATGGCTGACCTGCGGGTGTTGGCAGCAGAGGGACCCTGGCAGCAGATGTGTGGCCGAGCAGTCATTCAGTATGATGCCTCTGTCGGTCCTTCTGCAGCCTGTGGTTGCGATGCCCCGTTGGGCTCCATGGGATGTAGCTGACCGTGTTTGGGATGCTCTTGGAGACAGCATAAGGTGGAATGTCTTTTAAATGTTAGGTATTTTTTTACTTTTTTAAAACTTTTTTGGGGAACAGCCATGGTCACTGGTTACACATTATTTTCATGCTACAATGGCATAGTTGACTCTTTCAAGGAGGGCACAGCTCACAGTGGCCCATGTGGGGGTCGAATTGGCAACCATGGTGTTACGAGCACCACGCTCTAACCAACTGAGTTAACCAGTCACCTCCAACTTTTAGGTATTTTTTTCATTGGCATACACCTGCTTTGAACATACAGTTTACATTTTTTCCTGCTCATAAGCTGTGGCTGAGGGAAGTGCTTTGTCATCTCTGAAAGGGGCCACTGTCCCAGGATTTAGGAGACCCCTGTCTTCTCACTGAAGAAAAGGCATTTTTGAAAGCTTTCTAATGGGCACAACCAAACACCCCTTCAGATAGAAATTGCTGGAATTATAAATGGTGCTCACTTGTTGAAAATGACTTTCCCAGCTGTGGCAAGTTACTCACTAGATTCTGCCTTTTCAAGTGGAAATATAAAATGTGAAAGTTGGAATGATGATGAAAGTTTTTTCTCTTGTTTAAAACTCTGTTCATACATGAGCACCCCAGATTGCTTTTATGGAAATTACAATTAGTAAAGAAGGATAAGAAGATCCTTTTCTGATGTCTCAGAAATCTCATTTGGGTAATCGGCATTTGTTTTTCAGGTTGTCCTCTGTAGTCTACTTTTTATCTTTTTATTATGCCCATACGTGGAAAGGTCCAAAGGAATATTTATTACCTCAGATACTTATGACTGGATTTGATTTTATTTGCATTTGAGTGTTGCATGCTCTTCTGAAAAGTTGTAATATTTCACCAACAAATGAAGCCAGACAGTGTGACTGGCCTTGTATCTAGGTCTCCAGCATGGAGCAGTCAGTGTAGCAGTTGGCTCCTCCCACTCCCCCTGGAAGTGAGTCTTTGATCAGTTAAGTGAGAGTACTAGAATCAGAGTTGCAGGAGATAGTAGCGGTAACGAAGTTCCTCCTTTTCAGGATTTTTATCTTACTCTTCTAATAAAAAGACCGGATGACCAGCGACAGCTCGGTGGTTCTTGTCTGTCTCAATTTGCAGATCACACGGCGTTGCTGTGGAGCATCGAGACCGGGAGGTGCCTCGTCAAGTACGCGGGCCACATGGGGTCAGGTGAGCGCCAGCATGTCCACGGCTCTCCAGACGGGGGTGTGCTGGTCGGTGTGGATGCCACGCCTACAAGTGTGGGCTCAGCTCCCTAAACAACGTCGTGTTGGAGCTATCTGTGTTTTACTTAGTGTTGCATGGAACGGCCCACGAGACAGTTTGGGAACTGAAGTGTGTGTTACTCATCCAGAACTGTGTTCACCTGAGGACTGGCTTTCCGGTCTCGGCCCGCTGCTGGGCTGCTGTCTGCTCTGGGCTTCTGCCTGCCCTCCGTGCTGTGGTTGATGCAGCAGCTCTTTCCTGCCCCTTCAGTGCCCTGCATGCCTCATGTTCTGACCAGGTTCCAGCCACTCCTTCCCATGAGGGACCAAGTCCCCTCTGCTCCTTCCACCGGGAGGCATCACCCCCATATGCCTGTGGGGCAGCCCCAGCGCCCTCCCCTCACCAGGTGCTGCCACCCCTGAACCCTTGGGGACAGCCTCAGAGGTGGCGTCTGCCTTCTGCTTGTAGATTAGGAGTGTCCCCACCTGCCGACCTGTCAGGGAAGTGAGCCCGCCCCCTGCTGGGATGAGTATGAGAGGGCCGACTGTTCAGCCCGCCATGGGGGCCAGGACACACATGCATGCTTGTTCTGTGCGGTGTGTGTCTGTAAGTGGATGCTTCGGGGTTCAGCATGAGAGCACGCACCCTTTGCTTCTGCTCCAGCAGCAGCGCAGGCGCCTTCGGCTGCTCCCCTCTGCAGCGTGGGCACTGCTGACTGGGGCAGTGAGGAGTGTGGTGGTGACAGCTGCACAGCGCCCATTGTCTCACCAGCTCCTCCCGCAGTGCTAACATGGAAACAGCAGTGCCTGAGCTTTCAGTTCCCTAGGAGAGTGTCATTCAAGGAGCGCAGTAAAGGACTCTCACTGAAACAGCTTGTTGGCATCTGGCAAAGCCCCTTTCCTGCTGTGTACAGTCCCCCACTCCCTTCCCGTGTCCTTTAGGTGTGGAGGTGACGGGAAGGACGAGGTTTCTATGTGTGAAAAGAGAGCGTTAATATTCCTTCTCTGTGTGTCCTGTACCTCAGCAGTTCGGTAGCTGATACGTGGTATTTTTATTGTACCTCTCTTCTCT